GCGCGCGCTCTTCCTCCTGCTGCTGCTCCTCGCCGGCCCCCAGCCGCGGGCCGCCCAGGTCAGTGTCCCTCCCGCCTCTCCCGCGTCCCGCTCGCAGGGCAGGCAACGCCAAGACCGGGGACCCGGGCTTGCCACATGCCGCTTGGACGCTTGGGTTGGGGCTGGGAGCGATTCACGGGCTGGAGTTCAGGTGTCGGAGAGACGTGCAGGGTCCCCCATCTGTCATCTCAGACGCGTCGCGGGCCAGGCGTCCGGGAGGAGCCGGGCTTCTGTACCAAAGCGGGTCGTGCGAACGCGTCGGTACGCGGGGGCGAGGGCTCCGCGTGAGAATCGAAGGTCGGAGGAGGATTGCTCCGGGTGTCTCCTGGGTCTCCGTGAGAGCTCCCGGGCACCCAAGTAGCTTAGAGAATGTCCCCGCCCTCCAGCCTCCAACATTTACACTTCTAACTGAAATGTTCTCACCGCCACCCCTGAAACACGCACGGGACTTCCTTAGCAGTCTGTAGCATTTCCAAGGCAGAGGTGGCCCGGGAGGTTTCTGAAGCCGTCTCATCGTGAGCGACTGTATTTTCACACACACACACACACACACACACACACACACACACACGCACACATGCAGCTTGTTGAGTTTTCTTCTTGCCGTTAGTGCTTGTTCGAGTCCCCCTGGATTTATTTACTTGACCAGATTCACTTTTATATTAATCATCCGGAACTGATCTTAAAAATTAAGAATGCAGATTCAAATGCATTTTCTGAAGGTGGAACTGGAATTGCCAAGTTCACTGCCAGCATTTACCAGACTAGCCCCTGGCAGCCACAGACTCCTTTCCTCTATGAGAGGCCTGGCCTGAGGATAGGCGGCCAGCTACCCTAGCAATGTCAAGGACAGCAGTGACACCAGCGGTAGGTGGAGGAAAGCCTGCACAGGCCTACTGAGTGCCTGATGCGTGTTGGGCTCCTTGCTAGTGTCTTCCAGGTGCTTAATTCCCAGAGCACCCATCGAGGGACTGTTGTCATCCCCATTTTGCAGATAAGGGAACCCAGGCCCAGGGAGGTTGTGACTTATTCAAGGTCATGCAGCAAGGAAGGAATGAAGTTCAGTTTCTCTTGTTGGGCTCCAAGCCTTTCCCCCTGCCTGCTCACTTGTGTTTATACTTCCTGCCCTGAGACTAAATTCCTGTGCCATCCAGGCATACCCATGGCCCCCTAGAAACTCCTGGGGTGCAGGAAGGGATTCCAGGCAAGGAGAATTTGGTTCAAACCAGACATGGTGATGTTAGTGAAAAGGTGGTGAGCAGGCACCGCAGGAGGCTTCTGAGCAACCAGGCAGCAGGGGCCCAATGTGGGGCCACAGTGAACCCACACAACAGAATAATGGGTTCTCCCATCAACTTAGCAGATTACATAACCAAACCAACCTCAGGCCCAGAGCTCAATGCCAGAAGCACAGGCAGGTGCATCCCCAAGACACGTGTGCACACAATCAGACACGCATGCTCACATGCACACACATGCAGATACACACCCATCATGTTACCCTTGGGCTGTCACCTAATACACAAAGTGAGCACATTTACCAGCAAGCAAAGGAACTGCAGACAGAGTTGTGCTCAGGAGCCCGGCTGCCACCTGATCTTAGCTGCTGTCACCTGTCACCCAAGGTCACCCAGAAATCAGGTGGGAAGGCAGCAGTTCTCACATGTTTGTGGCTGCTACAGAGGCAGAGGTGAGCTCGCTCCGACTCTGTTCCCAGGAGATCTGGATCCAATCTCTGCCCTGCCACCCGCACGCTTTTTCACATTCCTTATTGCTAAACCTTGCTTTCTTTACCTGCAAAAGCACCGCTCTGTGGGGGGAAAGGGAGCAAAAAGGAATTGTCCACAGAAGTTCATTTAAAAATTCTAGTGAAACTGCCTTCCACCCAGTTCTATGTGGTTGGAGGCCTCCTGTTCCTCATCCAGCCCTAGTCTGGGCAAGCCTGATGGTTGAACCCTAAGGAAGGCCCAGGGCCCCTGTGCGTGCTGGAACAAGCTTTACCTGGCTCCTTCTGTCTTTTGGGTCTCTGCTCAAATAAGTGCCACTCTGCAGAGGCTTACCCAGCCCCAACTCTAAGTGGTCCCCTCCCTGTCCCTGTATGTTCTATTCAAGTCTCCTGAAGGGCTCTGGCATAGGACAGATCACTGTTTGTAATGGAATATTTTGGCCACTTTCAGATTTATTGTCTGTCTTCCCCACTACAGGGCCCCAGGGGCAGGGATCCCATCTGGGATTTTTACTCAGAGACCAGCACATAGTAGGAGCTCAGAGGAATGAACGCAGCTCGTGCTAGTCTGGGGAGAGCAGTGCTGGGCAGTCTCTGGGCAAAACCTGACTGCACATCAGAGCACCTTCTAGAAATTCTGATGACAGCCTCACCCCAGAAATCCTGAATCAATTGGTCTGGGGTGAGTCTCGAGCATCTAGTGATTCTAATAGAGTGGGTGCCTGAGACCCAGGGGAACCCAGCTTTCAGAGTTAACAGCTGTGGACTACAAGAGGGCTGAGGGCAGGGAAATTCACAGTGGACACAGGCTCAGGATCATGAGGACCTGAGGTGACTTAGTGTACCTGGAATTTACCTGATCTGAAAACAGGGTGAACCCCAGGGCTCTTGAACCCAGCAGCAGGACCTGCTGGTTGGTGGAGACTCATCACGTGTTTGGAGAGTGAACTGCACCTGAAGAACCACTTCTCGCGACAGGGGATATGGAATGGCTGGGGCAAGAGTTACCGAGAAGGGCCAGTGACACAGCAATCCCAAGGACCTCTAGGCAGAGGCAGCAGGAGCTTCTGCCAGGGGAGGGGGCAGTCCACACCCTGTCTGCGGTTCCTCTGCTTGCTGGTAAATGTGCTCACTTTGTGTATTAGGTGACAGCCCAAGAGTAACATGAGGGGTGTGTATCTGTGTGTATGTGCGTGTCAGTGTGAGTGTGTGTGTCTGTGTGATTGTGTGTGCACATGTCCTTCAGTGTTGGTACCTGTGGTTGTGTGTGCATGTGTCTGTGTGAATGCGTGATTGTGTGTGTGGTGGTGGGTGTATGTGTGTGTGTATCTGTGGTGTGTGTATGTGTGATTGTGTGTGCACGTGTGTTTCTGTGATGGTGCCCATGATTGTGTGTATATGTGTGGCTGTGCATGTATGTGTCTGTGTGAATGGTTGCATGATTGTGCGTGTGATGGTGTGTGTGTATGTAGGTTACAGGGTAGTGCTTTCTGCGGGGTCTGGAACAGTGATCCTGTGGTGTGGACAGTAATATCTCTTTCTCCTGCTGTCCTCCACGTCTTTCCACTGTGCCCTGTTGTAAGCACGTCTGTCTCAAGTCACTCTACAGTTTTTCTGTGACCAGCTGATGAAGAGCAGGAGGTTGAGCAGTGTGGGGATTCCACGAGCAAGGACCCTTTCTCCACATTATTCCCATTCTGTGGCTCTCCCACTGCAAGAGAAACAGCCTTGCTGGGGAGACAAGAACATTTAACACCCCAATCCATGGCTGCCGGCCTCCTCGTGGCCTGTAGGGTGGGTTGTTGTGGTGTTTCAGAAGACTTCCCCTCCCCTAACTTTTTCCTCTAATCAGATGTCACAGGGTTCCAAATTCCACCATTAGAGGTTCATTCCTTCAGTTGCCTCCTCCCGTATTATATGTTACTTTTTACAGTTAAATAAAAATAAATGGTTTTGGTGTACATTTCCATGATTTTAACCATATGAGGGTACTTCAAAAAGTTTGTGGAAAGATTTATATTATCTTTTAATTCTATTTTCCATGAACTTGTTGAAGTACCCGTGTATTGCATATGTGGTAACCACTATGACAATCAGGATACAGAACAGTTCCATCACCCCCAAAACCACATTATGCTGCCCCTTGAGGTCAAAGCCTCTACCTGTTGCAGCCCCTGATAACACTGATCTGTTCATCACTAAACTTTGTCTTCTCTGCAATGTCACATAAACGAATCAGAGAGTGCATGGCCTTTTAAGTTTGGATTCTTCAACTTAACACAGTGCGTCTAAGATTCATCCCTGTTCTAGCTGCTTTTTCTTGCTGAGTAGTGTTGCATCGCGTGGACGCGTGACAGACACTCGTGGTGCCGTTTCCAGCTTTTGGCGATTGTGAATAGAGCTGCTATAAACATTCACACACAGCTTTTCGTGTGAATGGAAATTTTCATTTCTCTTGGGTAAATACCGAGGAGCGGGATTGCTGGGTCACCTGGTAAATGTTTGTTTAACTTTGTAAGAAACTGCTAATATTCCATATTAGTTGTAACATCTTACATTCCCGCCAGCAATGAATGAAAGACCCAGACACTCTGCATCCTCAGCGTTTCATATCGCCAGGTTGGTTTGTTTCCAAGTCGTTCTAATGGGTATGCAGTGGCATCTCATTGTGGCTTTAATTTCCATTTCCTTAATGACTAATAATATTGGGCACCTTTTCATCTGCTTATTTGCCATATGAATTGTCTGTTATTAGAAGTGTCTATGCAAGCCTTCTGCCTATTCTAAAATGGACTTTGTTTTCTTATTAAGTTTTGAGTGCTTGTTATATACTCTAAATACAAGTCCTTTTTGAGATATGTGAATTACAAATATTTTCTCCCAGTTTGTAGTTTGTCTTAACAGTGTCTTTCACAAAGCAAAGTTTTTAATGAAGTCCAACTTATCGATTTTTTATTTTTATGAACTGTTTTTTGGGGTCAGATAGAAGAACTCTTGGCCTAATCCCAGGTCATGAAATTTTTCTTCTAAAATTTTTATAGTTTTGTATTTTTATTATGATTTATTTTNGGCTGCCGGCCTCCTCGTGGCCTGTAGGGTGGGTTGTTGTGGTGTTTCAGAAGACTTCCCCTCCCCTAACTTTTTCCTCTAATCAGATGTCACAGGGTTCCAAATTCCACCATTAGAGGTTCATTCCTTCAGTTGCCTCCTCCCGTATTATATGTTACTTTTTACAGTTAAATAAAAATAAATGGTTTTGGTGTACATTTCCATGATTTTAACCATATGAGGGT